TATGAAACATGTGTTAACAAACGCGGATATGGGTTACGTTTATGGATTGGCATTAGAATGATGGGATTGGACAATGAGATCGTCCTCAGTTAAGCGACGTGTAAATTGGTTCATTTGGTATGGGGACACAAACCGTTAAAATTCTAAATTATTTAGGTGAGTTTGTATTTAGTATTTTCAAAATCGTGGGATATGAGTTAGGTGATTAAAATATCTAAACCCAAACGAACCGACCCACGTACACCCCTAGGAAAAGTTTCAAAACTTAGTATTTAACCGAAAAAAAATGTTCAGAGAACCAGTCCCCTAGAGTTTGCACAAAGATATGATTGCTTCACTATAGTTCTGGAAATTAATGGTAATTTAAGAATTCTATATCGCTTCTACATATTCAATACTATAATTTGATATGAAATATTCGAACCAACAATAATTTGGTTGCAAATTTATGGTTATCGTCTATTTATAAGAAAGATAAAATTTTAAATTAAGTATTAAAATATAATTAAAATAAAAAATATCAAAATCGAAGTATCAAAACACCAAATAAGTACTTACAGAATATTTATTAGGCTAGCTAACTGTTGAAAAGTTCTATGATTTCATATTTTAGCTTCGTATATATTTTTAATTTAAAAAAATACAAAAAATCTACATAGTCTGATTGATTTTAAACCTTTACTTTGTTTGAAGTGACCATGGTTCAAATCTCAATATGTCTATCTTTTTCTGTAAATAAATAAAAAATACAGATAATTGTGAAGACAAAAATGTCCTTCCTAATTTCCCTCTCATTGCAGGAAATTTGAAAATGGAGATTCATTTTCAAATAATTAAATCATATACCCTAAATCTATAGAACTTAAATCCAAATATCACATATGCTAAGAACATAATCAATGATTCCGATTCGCCAAGATGTATACAACATACCATATGCACTATATTAGGATTTAGAGAATTATGATATAGGGTTTAGTTACGTGATTAATGTATGGTCTAGATAATGTTATTTAACTAAGGAGATGCAATAACTCTCAATTCATCGAGCGTACCATAGAATTTCCAATGTATATACACAGACCATTGTTTGTTAATTTAGCCAATGATAATTGGCTCATTTGTCAATGGTATTTAGTCTTTCAATTCTATGCTTATAATTGTCAACCATTAGGGAAATTGTTAGCCAATGATTTTTGGTCATTCACTTATAGCATTGAAAATGTCTCGTTACAAAACCATAGATCACAAATGTCAAATTTTATGTTTTGAAATAAAATTTTGTATAACACTTTTGTAAACAATCCTTGTATTCCTACAAACTACAAAGTCATGTAACCTAATAAATGTAAAAATTGTAAGACATACATAAACTCAAAATGTACTATTTGATTCTTGGTGAAGAATTGTGTGATTAGTGGAACTCACTTAGTTGATTCATAAAGCTAGGTATATCATGATGATTCACTTTGTAAATAATTACAGTTATTAATTAATTCGATGATTGATTGTTATGGTGGATAGTCCTATGATTTTGGGATATTTCAGTATTTTCTCTCTTTAATTCAAAAATACATAAATATTATTGTAGTCCAGTTGGTTAGTGATATTGACTATCAATCTGAAGGACTCAAGTTCAAATCTTTGTAATGACATTTTTTTTATCATAAGAAGATATTTAAGTTCTAAGTTGAACTTACAAATTTACCCCTAGCAACAATTAAGGAGAGTGCAAGGAATTTCAAATGCTCAAAATCTCCTGAAGAACTGCTATATATTATAGAGGGATGTTATGGTCTATAAGTGAATAGTATTTGTTGGAAGTGATTAATACGTAAGTCCAAGCCCACTTAACATGGCATTGGTGAGAGAGTGAGCCCAAGAAGAACAAAGCACATCATACATATTTTGGATTGGGCAAGGAGAGAAACCCTACTTTGATGACGACAAAATAGGTGTCCGTCCAAATTAGTACAGGTACTGATAGTCTAGTGTATGCGCCTCTCTACGATGTGTGACTAAGTGTTGGTCAAGGCACTTGCCCGTTTAAGGAAACAAAGGGGGTGGTTGAGGGAGTTTTGTGAGAGGTGGGTTCCAGTGGCTATGACAGTAAAAGACGTTCAACCTCCCGTGTTGGGTTGTTGTTTGGAAGAGTGAACCACGAGTGAGGAGCTCTAACGGAAACTCTCCAAACGAGATGTTAAGTCGAGTAATGATTTGGATAAGAGAGCACAAAAGGTCATAGTGTTGGAGCAAAAGCTGGCTGCAATGAGGGTAGCAAAAAAATAAACTAGATGAAGGGGAGCCGCCGAGGACAATGCGCCCGGAAACTGGTTGGTGTCAGCTTCCAATAAGGTGCCTAGAGGCACAGAAACCCATGAGTCACCGAGCTCAACCTTTCACTAAACTCAATGATGCGCTAAAAAATGTCATTGCTTATGGGAAGGATAAGGGATACCGCATAAGGTGGCCTAGACCGATGCACGAACAGTCTAACAAGCACAACATTCATAGGTATTGTGTGTTTCACAGAGAAAAAAGACACCACACGGCTGAATACTATCAATTGAAATTTGAGATTCAAGGCCTAGTAGAAAGAGGAATGTTAAACGAGATCGTGAAAAGGAATGAAGATAAAGTGCATCACGAGTACGCTATCCAAGAGGGCCACCCAATGGGTGTATTGGACCAAGTGAACCTCCCCCTCCACATTCCGCCATTAATCAGGCTCGCGATCCAGGGCGCACCCGACTACCGTAGAGGTTATCACCGGAATGCAGGATTTGAGAAGGACATTGGAAGAAAAGTGCAGACTTAAGAATGCACTGTCTGGGGTGAGGGCAACCGTGCAAATCAGTTTTAATAGAGTTCCCAAAGAGGCATGTAGACTTTCTTCTACAGAGGCACTTGAGATACAAGGCGTGGTCACAGGGTATCTAATTAAATGGATGTTAGTTGATATAAAAAGCTCAATGAACGTCCTTTTTCAAAACACGTTTGATAGGATGCAGGTGGCGCCTGAACTTATTGAACCATCTGACTCGGTCTTGATAGGGTTCTCAGGGGCACCATCCCGAGTGATGGGGCGCATACGCGTCTGTGACGCTCGGAGACGATGATCATAGAGTTACGTAATCCGTGAAATTTGGGATCGTGAAAGAATCACTCATAATCATGGTTGTGATTAGCAACGGCGCAGATGCCCATTGCGGCCAAACAAGACCTGAAAGTTTATAAATCATGCTTAACCACTTTTCTCGCTCTTTCCTCTCATGACTTTCTCTCTCTTCTTTGTCAAGTAGCTCAAAAAATCCAATCGTGTATATTACCATGATATATATTTCATACTAAATTTTATTTTGCAGAGTACATTTATTTGGATTTTTATGAAAAAATACGAGAAATCAAAGGACAACCTTTTTTCATATTATATCATACCAACAATGTAACGATTTTCTGTACAATTATAAATATGTGTACTAATGCACTCATATATTTATATATTAAACAATTAAAAAAATTGTGTGTACTCCATTATATTATAAAGTAAAAATGTCAACTTGCTACGTAAAATACATTATTACTATCACGTATTTATGTGACATGTCTGTACTCCAAAAATTTACTAAAATGCACCTGCATAGTTCAGTCATGTGTCACCATAATACAAGATAATTTCTACACTATAAAAAATTACTATATTTGTAGAGTATATTTATTTGATCTTCTTATGAAAAATATTAAATTCGAGTTGAAGCGAATAACATATAGTCCGTTAAAATTAATGTGGGAGTGATTATGCATTTGTTTTAAATTTTAGATTATGCACTAAAATGTTCCACACAAGTTTTACATCAATTATTTTTTGTTCTTCAAAAAAATTTGAAGTCATTCATTTACCTTTTTCGCATTTCAACTTTGCTAAAGTCAGCACGATTCGCAAGATTCTCTTGACTTTTCCACCTTATTTTCTCCCACAAACGTAACTGACTTTTTGCACATTTGTATGCATGCTAATCTCAAGCCTCTAACATTCATAAATACGTTAAAATTATATCACTCTCCGCATTTTGCTTCTGCTTCATTGTTGGTCTGTAAATATTCATTTTGGCTTCACTCAAGCCGCATTTGTTTCTATTTCCTTCCCCATTCCTATCTAGGTTTACACAATCTCTCATCTCCAATTAAATTTAAATAGTAAATATCTATTTTATAATAAAAAATATCAATTACTCTATGCTAGCCATCAACTAATTCATATAAGTAGTTTGTTAGAATGTCTATGCGAGAACTCAATTGCATGATGCAAAGATAAAAATTAATTATTTGTATTTCTAATGATGATGAACAGTAAAATATAAGAAGGAACTTTATAGTTGTCACTACTACTATTTTCTTTGGATCTTTAGTTATTGGATTAACATTGCATGGTAATTAGGGCTGGTAAACGGTCGGTAATCTGTTAAACTGATTACCGGTATATCGGTTATCACCACACTCCCAACGTTTGCCGATACCGAATAAGATTTGGTAAATCGGTTACCAGTTGTGAGTCGGTTTCCCGTTTACCAGTTGTGAGTCGATTTCCCGTTTACCGCAAAGAGGCGACAGGCAATGACAATGTTGCGGCCTGGGGACGGAGATTCGTGAAAGAAAGGGCCGGTTGGTCTGCTTCACACCAATTCACCGATTGATTTTCTAAATACGTTATTCCACAACATCATCAACATAAACAAGACCATAAGCAAGACCACAATTAGACTTTCAATTCAAAAATTGCGATGATGATCGATGAATAGAATAGTTGCTTCAGAAAGGGAAGAAACCCTCTCCTCCTAACATGCAAATCCCAAAAAAGGCCCAATGAATAAAACAGTTGCTTCGGAAAGGAAACAAATCCTCCCCTCGTGCAACCCCATCACGAAAAAAGTGGATAAGTATGAAAAAATCCAGCCAGCATATACAATCGCAGATCGAGTTGGTATTGCTACTGCTCTACGATGGGGGTTTTGACAAGCGGCGCCCCTCTCTGGTTGGGTGGACCATCTTCATCGTTCCTCTGCGGGCAAATATGGAATCGAGAAGGAGAGAACCATCGAGCGAGGAGACTGCATGGCATCGGATTTGGAGATTCCGTGACCCAGGTCGAAGATAAAGAAGAAGGGACCGCTGTCGCATATGGCGTCGGATCTGGAGATAATTCCCTCACTGCCACCGGACCCATAAGCGATTATGACGATTTCTGGCCGGGATTGGCCGGCAGAGACGATGATACAACCATATTTTTCCAATAGCCTCCGTCAAACCACTTGACAGTACTTCTCATTGCTGCACTGCATAACAAGGGAAGAAGAATTCGCAAGACCCGGATAAAGGTGGGGGAAATTGAGGACGGGGAGGAGAAAAGAGAAGAGAAGTAGAGAAGCGAAGGAAGGCGACGACTGGTGTGAAGGGAGAAGGGGAGAGAAGAAAGGGTTTGCAAATTGAGACAGCAGGGGAAGGGCTCTCCTTGTCTATCTATACTATATATAAAGCAGATTTATGGGTTGAATTTTCTCCATTTCAAATTTTGAGAAACCAGGGTGAAAGTAGGAAGGGTATTTTTGTCTTCACAATTAGTTATTTATTTTTTATAAAAATATATCAACACCAAGATTTGAACCATGGTCTCTTTAAACAAAGACATGAAACATAACCAATTATACTAAACAAATATGTTATATACTTTTTATTACAAAACATACACGAAATTAAAATATGAAAACATATGACTTCTGCATAACGATAAGCTAGCTCACTAGGTCTCATGTAACTATCTTTATGGTCCTTGATAATTCAATTTTCATATTTGATTATTTTAGTTCTAGACTATCCTCCAATCTATAAAATATATGAACGAGATTGATGGGTTAAATTTTCTCAATTTCAAATATCCAGCAACCAGAGTGATTTTTCGAAGGATAGTCTAGAACTCTCACAACCTCTAAACCTAGATAAGAGGAAACAAATAAGCGGAAATCTCGCAGCCATAACTCTGTCACTAACTCGGCCGTTCTTCGGACCTCTCCAAGGAGCCTTCGACACATTTCTTGCCAGACAAAGCTAATCAAGGTGCACCATAGAGGTCTAATAAGTCTCCCTAGAGTCGTGTTTCGCTTTGCAACCATACATGCATTTGAGAGTCGGATATCCCAAGAGCTGCTACTGAAAAAATTACCAACTCTACTAACAATACTCGTCGAGAAATAACATTCGAAAAACAAATAATCCCAGGTCTCACTATTGGCATGGCATAAAATGCATCTATCTTCATTAATTTAACCCATCGCATCAACTTTACCTTGGTTACTATCGCATCCATGGCCACAATCCATGCTATGATACTCCAACGATGCACATAGAATTTGCTCTAGAGAAGAGCAAACCAGTGTTGTTTGCTCTTCACAGGACGTATCGTATCCCAAACTGCGCTCATTTAGTAGTTGTACATCAATTTCCCATTCCAAAAGCCTTCATCACCCTGCTTCCTCATAAACGACTGCATAGTTGGACAAAACTTCAGAATTCGTCTCCATGCCAAATCATCTCTATTTTCACCTGTCAAACAACAAAAAGATGGTGGATTTTCCATAAATCCAATTATCAAACCAAGCTACACATGAATGAAAAAGTAAGTTATCAATATTCTAATAAAATTCTCACGTGAAGATTCCAATATAATTTTCGCTTCCATAATATATATGGTACTAATTGTTGGTTACAATTTAGTGCAATCTAATTTTGGCCTTTAGATTAATCTAACGATTTTATTAGGCTGTATTAAAATAACAATTTAATATGATTTGGATTACGATACAAAACTCATACATAAAAAACTCTACAAAATCCCAACCATAGAACCATTTATCGAACGGACATGTATTTTAAACAACAATAGAGTTATTTTAAACAGTTATGATATTAGTTTTAATTATACGAGTTAGTACCTATTCCATTTTGTGTGATGTTAAAAATTACCATAATCAACATAAATGTTCATTTATAAAATAATTTATCAATGATATCATGAACATCAATAATATGAACAAACAACATTAATAGACAACTGTGATATTGAATCATACTGGTTAACAACGAAATGATGTATTGTTAATAATCTATAAATTGCAACGTTGCCAACATAAGCAAAATCGTTAACCACATATATATATATATATATATATATATATATATATATATCATATGAACGGGAAGCATCCAATGAACGAGTCATCACTGAAGCAATTAACATTAAAGTCTGAATATCAAAAGTTAATAAATGAAGCTTCCATCCATTATAAATATAAATAAATAAATAAATGAAACTTCCATACTTTGACATCGACTGCAGCGGAAGAATAAGATATGGCAGACATATAAAAAGCAACGATAACTATTATCTAATCTATTCCCCATGACTAACGATATCAACTTCGTCTAATGCATATTCGTCCTGTGTGAAAATGTTATACGAAGAAAGTGGGAATAGGGCAACCAAAAATTCATTTTGGAAAGAAGCGAATGTGTTACACGACGTGAGAAAATAGAAAGGTGCAAAATGGGAGGTTCCAACACGGTTTGCATGTGGTAGAGAAAGAGTGAGAGATTGAAGTTTCACATTTTTATTTTTTAAAACTTATTAAACTAATTATTAATTTAGAATATCGACATTTCTCTTATAGGTTTGTTCTTCTTGATTAATCTAATGATTCCTATTACGTTAAGAAACTTGATAAATAATTAGTTTAATGATTGAATCCAAACCGCATGTTATATGTTTATGTTTTGGTGGAGATATACTCCATTTAATTGTATGCTTGACAACTTGATGATTAATGAATGGTGGATCTATTGTTTGGTGGTTGCGAACTTCTTTATCTATATGCTATAGTGTTGTTATTTGCTTTGTAATATTTAATCTATTGGTTAAATGGTCATAGATAGAATTGTGGTATATTGTTATGTGGATGAGGATTAGGGTTAACTCATGGCGATGAACACAGACTATGGTTTTTTGTTTCAAGTATTAGACCTTCAAATTCGCAGGTTATAAATATTTTTGTCTATTTTTCTTGCTTTTGGCTATCTAATTGACTAGGAAACACAAGACTTTTTTCATGTACAACTCTTATTGGATTTCTTGATATTGAATTTTCCACAATGAACCTCTTTTTGACAATTTCTTTGACTCTCATCTTCAAACTCGCTCATCTCCCCCAAGTGTTAAGATTATAGATGGTGGTATGATCTCTTTTTATATCTAATTATCTTTGCCTGTGTTTCTCTTATGAGCATAATTAAAGGCTTTTGTTTCACATCTGAATATGCTATGGATTTTAGGGAGAACAATATGCAACATGAAGACACAAAGTTACTTTAACATTTGGTCTTCAAAGTGAGCTCCCATGTATTGAGCATTTGAGATCAATTTGCTCTTCATTGCCCACTGTTTTGTCTATCTCTACTTTCACATCAAAATATTAATACTGAAGCTAACAATGAGGCACTAAAGGCTCAACTTTTAAGTATAACTTCCGCAATGCACAAAATACTCATTTGATTTTTCTTTTATGCTTCGAGCCCTTGACTCATGTTAAGAATGCTCACTGTGAATCTTGGCACTAGATCAATTTCTAGTTTCTCTAATAGCTTCTACAACGACACTCTCATGCATGGATGCAAAATGGTCACAAATTCTATAGCATATTAGTTCGTGCAAAATAAGTAAGGTTAATGTTGTATTGAGGGTGGTTTTCACGTCATCATGGAACATATTCAACATGCTACTTCATATTGTTGATCAATCTCTAATGTGCCATATATATTCTTTCACAGGATATATATAGGGGTCGTTTGCTTGTTAGATTTTAGAATGAAGGATTTTAGTTTTTAGAACCTTAGAATTTGTGATAGATTTGTTGCATTGTGGATTTGAAAGAGTCTATCGTTTGTGTTGATGATTTTTTATCATGGATTTGTAGCTTTTTATACCAATGGCCTCATAAATTTGCCTTGCATCAACCAAATCCCAAATGAAAGGCGGGATTTACAAATCCGTGGTGTCCACTGATTTGGATCTAAAAAAAATTCCACAAATCCGTGGGCCCCACGAATTTGGTATCCTATTTTTTGATGCAACAAACAATGGAATTGGTTAAATCCATCAAGCTTGGGATTTGGGTGGCAAATCCATCACCCAAATCCAACAAGCAAACGACCCCTATTTCATATTTATAACCTACCGTGATGAATAAAGATGTTAACTATTGAGAAAAAATATTTGATTAAACTATATGAATAGACAATAATTTTCTGTTATGATTAAGATTGATTTTGTGTGTGTAATGGAAGAAAACTCTCATGTTGTCCTACATGAAATACATAATAAATAGATTTCATTTACTTTATAATTATCTCTATTATTTGTTTATATTCGTTATTCATTTCTATATATTTTTTTGTCCATACCAAAATATTACATATTATAAATGACAACAACACATCAAAATATATAATAATCACACTCTCTCGGCCAAGGGTTGGGCCCGGTGCTAGTTTTGTATGAAAAAGTATTCGACTATCCTGTTTATCGGCTAACCGCTGGTTATTAACCGAGTAAAATATGGTATATAGAGTCCAGTGTTTGGCTACTGTATACCAATACCGGCAGTTACCGGTTTGGTAACAGGTTTTATCGTTAACTGGTACATCGTTTACCACCTCTAATGGTAATGTAAAGTGGAGGTGGAATTCTCAATAGCTAACATTATTTATATAATTATTAAAAAGTTAAAGATAATACACAATTATAAATGTATAGGTAGTATAGCAGTACAATTGCACCTTAATTATATGCTCCTGATATGCAATTGTATCTCCCTTTCAATGATCTATACCATGTTTATTTCTTGAGTGCTTATTTATCAAAATTGTGAGTTTTTCCGTCTTGGACCTCATTCAAGTACATGTTAGTGTTGTACTAATGTTATGTAAAAAGATAAAGGGTAATGTCTATTTTTTATCCAAACTTTTTCAAATTCTTTTATATTATCGTAACCTATCGAAATACTAAGAATTATCCAAATGTTAACTTTCAGTTAGCAATTTTGTTAGTAATATTGACTTGGCAAAATGATACTGACTTGAAAGAGACTCATGAAGGTTAACATTAAAAAAATTTAATATTTTAACTAAGAAAAGAGTTGCAAAATTATTAACGATAAGGTAAAAATGGCTAATATTTTGATGCATTATGAAAGATTTGGATAATTAATAGAATTTTAATAGGTTTGGATAATATAAAAGAATCTAAAAAGGATTTGGATAAAAACTAGATATTACCCAAAGATAAAATACATTTTGAAAGAAGATCTACGCACAACAATGATAACTTTTGACATTCATTGTATGAGTGCAAGATGAATTGTTATTTGAATGATGAACATGAGTTATACGTATCTATCGGGGGCGAATTTACCATAGATTGAACTAGGGGTGTAGTTCGGGTTTAATCATTTTAATCACCCGACCCATATATACGATTTTGAAAATGTTAAATCCAACCCAACCAAAAAACATTAGAACCCTACAGTTTGTTTATAATTGGGTTGGGTCAGGTTGGAGATTTTAATGAAACAAATAAATCGAGGCGAAAAGTTTCAATATGCATAAATATTGTTTGGTTTTTAATGAAATGCAATTTACTTCAACATATGTCTATTTTTTTCATAAATATTAGTCGAAATAAGCTAAAGTGGTTATAAGCTAACACATTTATAATATATTTTTCTTCTAAAATTGTACACACAAGAAAAATAAGATTATGTGAATCATAGCTTATATTAATCTACGTTTAAATATTAAGTTGAGGAATGTATTAGGCTAGAGAAATTACAAGAGAAAAATATGATAAGATAGCTTAAATTTCTCACAAATATGTTTATTTACGACACAAATATGTATTGTAAACGAATACCTATGATAATAGTTTGGCACGGATTGAGTTGGGTTTTATGGGTTATGTTACCCCAAATTCGGACCCAACCAAATAGAGGCGGTTTGTACAAAAGAAACCCTCACCCAACCTTAAACTTAAAAATTGACGATAAGTACGGTTGGGTTGGTCGGGTGGATCGGGTTGTGGGTTGTTTTGTTCACCCCTAGATTGCACAGCCTACTACTATCAGAATGTTCAACTATAAGTTTGTTGAGTTATACATTCATCAAATAAAGAAATAAGTTGAAATGACTCCGATTCGATCATTACATGTGAAAATTTGAATCATCTAAGTAAATTTTTGTCATGAGATTGAAAGAATGTTAGACGCTCACAATATTTGGCACAAATATATAGATCCACGAAAGACAAAATCAATGAGAAAATATGTAGAATATGTGAAGTTGAAAATTGATGGCCAATTAAAGAGCACATGACTCGTGAATATGATCTTCAAAATAATGATGAAGTATTGACTCTTATTGCTTTACGTGATAATGGTTCCTAGCCACACTCAAACTAAATATGACAGTCCACATATTAGACAAAGCCCAAATAATAAATTATTATGATAAATATATACGAAAGGAAATAGTAGCCAACTATTGATAAAAATAACAATAAAATAAAACATGCCGCCCACCAGACGTACACAAAATTAGTTTATAAAATAAGCTAGAAGTTGTAAAAACATGTGTACATAAATCAATGAATTTCAGATCCCAATTTCCAAATTAGTACCCGAGCTACAATCGGAGAGAGAGCTAGAGATGAGGGGAAGGGGCCGACCTGGATCGGTTGAAACTTGATAGTGGGAAAGATATGAGATGGGTAATAGGCAAAGGGCAAGGACAATGAGGGATGCGAAGAATGGAGGATGCTTGGTCGAGAAAGTTCAGCGGTTCATGATTCCCATCGAGAAGGCGAGGAACGCGGCAGCGACAGGGAGGGATGATGAGCGACAAGTAGCGATGGTCGACGACACTGGACGAACGAATGGATGGATTTGAGGAGCGAACATAAGGTGAAGGACTGCGAGCTTCGTCTCGAGTCAACATGTGGACGAAGAAGTGAGATCAAGGGCGAACGAGGAGGTTCATTGCTAATTGGCAAGCGACTGAGGCAGTGATAAGAAAAAACGAATGGATGCTAAAATGTTGAAGCCGAGAAGGGGGTGGAGATGCTGACTATACCGTTCCGGACTAGGCTCCTATTTTGGTTTTTTCTCAGTCCGATCGACCAAACCGATACTATTTCAAAAACCATGAGAAAAAGAAGAGAACACGAATAAAGAAATGAACGAGCTAGAGTGCTAGACGAAGAATATTGGAAGACTTCATCTGGGTAGCCTGACAATCGAGTTAGGTTGAGTAATTTTGGGTTGAGGCATCAGGTTACGAGTCCGGTCATGTTGGGTTGTCTGATTTCGGGTCAAATTTTGACCCAAACCGTTCGATTTCGGGTCAGGTTACAAGTCGTTTCGGGTTTTGAGCGCTCTCATAAACGAAAACATGCTTCATATTTTTTTAAAGAAAACAAATTTCCACATATGCGTGACAATAGTTTACCTAACACATGTCAATTAACATATTCTCAAATCCTCCCATGCTAATGAAATGAAATACAAATTGCGCAAATAAAAAAATAATAATCGCAAGAGTAAAACTACTACAAAAAACATATGATGTTTGATTATCCTTAAACTCCAAAAATGTCTTTCAAATCCTTGTAATTTTTTGTTTAACATCTCACCAATTTATGAGTGATTTTATCATTTTGGGAATGACATATAAAATATAACGGGTCAACCCACTAAACCACCCAACCAACCCAAAAAATCACGAGTTAATATGGATTTGGAGGCAGTTTTTGAAATGCCGAGATATTGCTGCTGGTTTTATTTCAGGTGCTTCCCCCAATCTGTGTTGGCAAGGGCAGCAGATGCAAAGGTACTCCGTTAAAAGAGTATGGAATGCAATAAGAGAGCGCAAGACTACTGTGGAATGGCATAAATTGGTTTGGTCAAAGGAAATTATTCCTAGACATGGCTTTACCCTATGGATGGCTATACAAGACAGATTGATATTGCAGGATAAACTTCTGGCTTGGGGCAAACAGGTATCTGGACTATGCCTTTTATGCCCGGGTGGTGTTGAAACAATTCATCATCTACTGGTTTCCTGTGCCTATACTGTATCGGTTCTCAGAGGATGTATGAAGCAATTGGCTCCTCCAGGGGAGGGAGATTGGACTACAGTGGTGACCTGGTGTTGTAGGCAGTGGGGGGAAAAGATTCCAAGACATGGTTTGTGTAGGCTGATGTGGAGTTCAGTGATCAGTTACGTGTGGCGGGAAAGGTGTAGTCGAATGTATGGCTCAAATGGAATTCGACCTCCTGATGTGTTAGTGAAGCAAGTGAAATCTGATGTAACTCATAGAGTGTTTAGTGACCCTGCTCTCCAGGCGGAATTAGAGTATATAGATAGTATACCTTGACAGGTTTTTCTTTGTTTTGGTTGTAATTGTTTGAGAGGCACATCAAGATTTTCCTTGGTGTTTTTGCCGGCGCTTCAATACAAGTTTTTTGATTCGCATAAAAAAAAATAAGGGTCGGATCATTTGGGTTTCGGGTTATAAATTTTTTTATTTTTCGCGTGGGTTCGAGTCGGTTCATCGAATCTGGATATAATTTGCCAAGTCTACTTTCGGGAAAAGAAAAGAATAATAATTATTAGAAGACAAAACGACAAATTTTTTTTTTTTGGTGGCAAAAACGACAAAAGATCTTACCACTCAGAACAGAACCAATCGTGGAAGAGAGAGTCAAGAAGACGCTGCCTCCAACCGGCCGGGTCGAAGCCGCGACTCCTAACGTAAACAAAATCGCTCCCCTTCTCTCTAACCTGCCTGCCAAAAAGCAAGTAAACGCCTCTCTCCCCACTCGACACTGCGGGCCGCTTTCGCTGCCGCAGACGCGATTTTGCGAATTCGAACACTCCCAAACAATCGCCGACAAGACTTCCGCGGAGCACCACCGATTTTCGCACATACCAGCGTTCTCCTTTGAGGTAATCGTCTATTCTCCTCTCTTCAAATAGTATCCCTCTCTGTGTAATTTTCTGCATACGAGGTGTTCGACGAAATTACCCATCTGGTTGTGTACTTGTCCCACCATTTCGCCTCTCTCCCCACTCGACATCTGGTTGTTCACTTTCGCTTGGAAATGTTATAGAGCAGTTTTCATGTGCAGATGTCGTTATACATTGGTAATCTGTCATCCCGCATTCACAAAGATGAGCTTGAACGTGTGTTCCAAAAGTTTGGTCGGTGCGACGTACGGATGAAAGATGGGTATGGATTTGTGGTGTATGAGTTTCCCCCAAATGCCGAGAAAGCCCTGAAAGCACTGCAAAAGAAGTACATCTGTGGGCAGCCATTAACGCTCACATGGTCAAACAAACAACCTAGACCAATTAACAGACACGGAGGAAGGCCCGTTAGGCGTTATGACTCACAGCATGTTGGATTTTCTGCACGAGGTACCGAGTATGGTCGGGACAGGTTAGGTTCCCCTGGTCAACATGATTATAGAATGCTCGTTAAGCATGAAGATGAACGTGAAAGAAGGTTCGATTCTGATATGCTTGATGAAGGGACAGCTTTCCACCATGACGACATGAAGGATTTTCATGGTCAAGAGCATCGCGGTTACAGGGAGGATGAAATGGTAGAAAATGATAGATGGGATCTCCGCAATGTGCTGAATGAACATGATGTCAATGATGGAGAGGGGTTCGATAGGTATGAACCCTACCAGGACAGAATTGATGATGGTAACCCTCAATTGGGCCATTCCAGCGGGTCTCCTTCTCAACGAAGCTTCCTAGGGGATAGAAGGAGAGATCACTTTGGTGAAGGAAATTTGAAGCGCAAGGATGCTTGCTATAGTTGTGGGAGCCTAGGTCACAAAATGAGGAATTGTCCTGAGAAAAATTTTGTGAGGACAAACTGGTCCAAGTTTAACCAAACAGACGGTAACAATGTGCATTGGAAAGAGAGAAGTGAAGATGAGACAGAAATATCTAGGTCAAGGGAAACACTGGGATCAGGGATGGATAGGGGTAAGAATGATGTGAAATCATCTAGCTCAAGGAAGCACCACGAACTAGCAAAGTATAACAGCTCTCCAATAGAAAAGGAAGTGGGCACAATAAAGGATCGTGAAATAAAGAAACGAAACAGGAAAGAAAGTGGATCACCTAAGGCATGTAGCACAAAGAGAGGAAGAATATTGCTTTCATCTCCTGATTCAGATCACATGGGATCTAGATCAGTTCCTAAGTCGTCAAAGCATACTCGGATGTCTTATGCTCGCTCTAGATCGAGATCGAAATCTTCTAGGACTCGTTCATTATCATCAGACTCGAGGTCCGGTTCAACATCACATAGATTCAGAAATACTAAGTCGAGATTGAGATCTATCTCGCCTGCATCATTGTCTTTGTCTGTGTCACTTGGACAACCTTTGCCATCCTCAGATAAGGTTCAGTTCAATCCGAAAGGTGGCATGGATGCTGTTAAACCTGCAGAGTCCAGGGAGGTGGTGGTTGAGAAGGAACAGACGGTAGAATCTAATACAAAGGTGGAGAATTCTGAACTTGAAATGGACGCGACTGTTGCAAATTCGGGAAGTCCTGTTCTATCCTTGGATATGGAAGGTGAAGTTAAAAAAGGGAAGCTTATGCTTAAGGACAGTGAAATTTTGTCAGCATCTCTCAATGTTGTGAAAGACCCAAGCACTGCCCTAACAGACGGAAGTACAAGAGTTGCTATGAGTTCTTCGCCTAAGAGGCTGATGGAGATTGCTTTTGAGAATTCAAACCCAGTGATGCCAGACCATGTGCCATGTTCTATCACGAAACCAGAGTCTGAACTGTCTGTTATTTCTGGCACCTGCAATTTAACAGATATTTCCCCAGACGAGTTGTGTAAGGTTATAAAGCATTATAATCTTGATTCGGCAGATGAGGATGCAAGGCATTTAAGCCCAGAGGCTTACTTTGGTTCTTCTCGCTTGTGGCCTTGGGAAATTATCTATTACAGGAGATTGAAGAAAGGTCCTATATCTGTTGAAAACTATGCTAGGCGGGTGGAGCAAAACCATAAATTTGGTATTGTTGACAAGTACATTAGAAGCAGTAGTGGATGGGGAGAACTGAACCAAGGGAATGAGTAAGACATATAGCTCCTAAGATGGATTTTTGGCGCGTCGAGACTTGCCCGAGACTGACTTACAGCCATGCTCTGATTCTAGGGGGTACTTATTTTGAGAAGCTTTGAAAAGGTAAACACGCAGATGGAATTTTGATATGTGAAGCTCTTAGAACCTATATAGTTGTGTTTTAGTGGTTGCCGAGGGCTGACCTGGCGAGCAAGGCCTTATGTTTCTGAATGGAACTCAAATCTGTTTTCCAATTTTCTCTAATTGTCTTATGAGCTCATTGTTTGGATGGTTCATTCAGTCTGATGATGTTCTTTCTTTCCCATTCATAGCCAAGTAGGTCCAAAATGCTCAACTCAAGCATTTTGGACCTATATGATTAGCCTTGCTTCCTAAGTCTTCCTTTTACATTGTCTCTTGCTCAAGAAAAAAAGATATGCATGTAAGAAAGAGGTGGAAAAGAGATGCAAATAATTTAAAGATACAAATCTATAATATGTTTGGAGCATGGGATACCATTTACAGGAGCTATCATTCAAGAGGCAAGCATCAAAATCAAAGGAACCTAACTCTTGCTCATTTATTCCCTAAGCCCTGAATTACACTACTTGACTGCTGCTATTTACAACACTTAGCAGCTCATCCGGATATTTGCTAAGATAGTAACATAAAGATCTTATTCTTGTTCTTCTCGAAGTGAATTTGTGAATGGTGTTTCACTCTCTCTCTCTGTAATAGTGATTTCTAGTAGCAAAGTCAATTCACCTGATGGCTTTGCTACTGAATGCTCATTATTTTTTATGGACAAGTGATACTCAGCTACCTTTTCCTCTTGTTCTTCCTCCATACACCACTGGTGTATTCTTCTCCCCATTTTCAATGAAGTTTTCACCTGTATAAAAAAAGAAGTGATACTCAGCCTGATTTTAAGATCTCTTTCTTTGGCAATTGAAACTATTTATGTAATAAAGACCTTGTTTTGGTTATTTTTATGGTTCTTTGCAGAAAACTTCATTTAGGATTCTCCATTGTAATTCTCTTTACACAACAAGGTTATCCTCTTGTAGTAGAACTGGCACTAGTTTAACTTCAGCTGATAGTTATGTAGAAATTTCAAATTACTTGGGAAGTGGAAGTTGGGGCAACCTGAAGCTTTTCATGCCCTTTTCTCCTTAGGACCATCGTGAACTTATCCTACTGTGTTTAGTCTGTTGCATCAAACTTGTAACTGTTTCATGTCAGCAGATTAGTTATGAACTGCTTCATGGTTAAAGCAAAGGTCATTATGAGGTGCGGCATAGAAAGCTGGTGTGAGTGAAGCCAACATGTCTAAACTTGTTGCGGCTGTCCACTAACATCAGCCTGGATTATACCGTGGTTCAGGCTTCCGTAGTCTTAACATAGCTGACATTCTTCTGTTAATAACTTCAACTGAATTTTTTTTTTTGGTTTCGCTTCGGTGCAATTTTGGAAAACATGATATGGATATATGTCATGTTAGGTTATTTTCTTGGAAGCCTGCTAAAACAAGGCTTGAAAGACGAAGATGCATTTTACGTTGCATGAACTTGTGATTTGTCGACCTTCCTAACTGGAGCTTGTATTCTAATGCCCAAAAAATATTTTATGTGAAATGGAAAGCTTCTTCAATTAAAATATAAAATTGAATGCTACAATATGTAGATACAAATCTTCTCACTTGGCTTTGTCTGGTTTGAAGTTTCATAATGTAGCATTTGCATATGGAAACATCTTATATCACGGCAAGTTAGTTTCTTTGTTGATTATCAAGTAGTCAGTCTGTTTGTTAAGTTTGCATATCAAGTCAGGGTTACTCTTTCTGGAAAATGGTGTTAGGTATATGTTTGATTTTCACACTTAGTAGTCTAGGTACTAAATGCTCATAATGCAAAGCAGAGGAGTCCTCCACTCAAGATGAATGTTGGTCATATTTATACGTCAGCACATAATTTGGGTTGGCTGGGAATACCAATCTTCAGGGGTTTCCTTATGACAAATAAACTACCACTTCAGTAGGTAAAGCTACTTGCTTGATGTGGAACATTGGTTCTTATGATTCTCTGCATAAATATCGTGGGTGTCGTAAATCCTATGAATTGACTTTTCCTTTTGGGAGGCATTGGTTCTTATGATTCTCAAGTTTAGTTTATCTGAACTAACCCATGAACAATTGGTAAGATTCTGTTTTTTCTGCAGGTTGGCTATTCGTAAAAGGAAAGGCAGGATGCTTCTAAAGGTAACTAGGTAAGAAAATTTGTTAGAGTTCCCACAGAACTTAAAATGATTCCTAAAAGGGACGGGAGTAGGAGTTTTAAGGAACTTTGGCTTCTTTTGGGAGACATTGGAGCACTTGTTCTCAAGTTTAGTTTATCTGAACTAATCCATGTACAATTGGTAAGATTCTGTTTTATCTGCAGGTTGGCTATTCATAAAAGGAACAGCATGATGCTTCTAAAGGTAAAAAAAATTTGTTTGAGCTCCCGCAGAAATTAAAATGATTCCTAAAAGGGATGAGAGTAGGAGTTTTTAGGAACTTTGGCTTCTTTGTCAGGCATGCTATTGAATCATTATAAGTTAGGGTTTTCTTTATACTGTAGCTAGGTAGTGAAATCGCTTTTGCAAATAAGTTGTAACTATCTTTAATCTACTCTTCATGTAGTTCCTTAACATTGAAGGAATACAAGTGGCAAACATTTCATTCTGCACTGGCCCTAGTCAAATTAGATTTGACATGTCAATTAAACACACCCATAAATGTGACAAAGCATATACAAACAACAAACAACTGAACAGGGTGCTTTTGGAATGTTATTATCATCGTATTAAATGATGATGCTCTAGACTGTGAGGATTGAGGAGAGTTATTTTCACCAGGATAGTGTGTAGTTGAGTATAGAAAAGTTAGATCGAAGGACGTGACTTTACTTAATTTTTGTTCACAAGAAATCTAAAGCCTTTCTTTTTCATTGCTCATTTGGTCGCCATTGATATACTTGATTGAAGTCTGATAACCTGCTGCGTCTAGCCATGAATTCAATAACAGCAATGCAAAAGAACTGGTTAAACGTTTGGCCGTTTAACTTTGTTAAAATTAGATATGATTTTGACTCTGTCTGACTTACTAATTTTATTTTGTTTCTGTGAATTGCTTTTCTCTCTCTCAGAAATAAGCAGTTGCCCCCAACCCTACTAGCCATCAGTTTTTCCAGCCATGCCGCCAATCTCGGTAAGCCATTGTTTGCAGCCATCTTGCTCCCCTATTCTCTTAATGGTTGAGGATGGCTGTTTCTCGTTAGTTTGTGTGTGCATGACGGTATGGCTTTGTATATTCGTTGGACCATCCTAAGTGCATGACCTACGCTTTCTTCCTCTCTGAGTTTCTGTTGGAGGTTATTTAACATATTGGAGCATTTATTGATATGATATGAAGTATTTCTGCGATATTTTCCTATCTTTATTAACCTGCACAGCCTTTTATAATTCCTAGGCTTCGTTTTTTTCCTTTTCTCCTTTGTTTTAACTTTTAAGGGGTATGAATGAGAGAAAAGAGTGCATCTATAGGCGTTAATCAAGGGGGGTTGAGATGAAGATATAAGAGAAAATGAAGGAGGGAGAAGGAAAAAGGGAAATAAGTGAGACAGAAGCAAGAATTGAATTAGAGGAACATGGAGGAGAGAGAGATGGAAGGGAAGGGAGGGAGTAGGGAGCGAGTAAGTGTTTCACTTACCAAAATAGAGAATGGCACCAGAAAGGTGGCATTTAGTGAGTGATGAGAAGAGTAGTGAAAAGGAAAGCAATAGAAGGAAAAGATTGAACACAAAATATGAAAATATAGATGGCTGGCTGAAGGGTTGGGAATTAAATTTGTATTTATCATCTTGACGTAATAGCCCCCTTCCCCCCCTTGCCCTTTCATTATTCTCAACTGTCTCAATTACTCTTGCATTTATGTGTTTTTAATGGTCTTTCAATCTAATATAGCCCTCCTTTTGCTTCAATGCACGAACTACCCAACCCACCTCCTGGTGGAGCTTCTCCATTTACCCAATTGCCCTTCTCCTTCTTCCTACACCTTTTAGGCTAATCACCCATCAATTAGATACCCTGGGATTACCATATAAGCTGCCTCCGATATGTTTGTCCTAGGTCATGTTTGTTATTATCATTCTATGAACTTTACAATATGATGGTGATATAAGTTTCTACTGCACCGTAGTCTTTATGGTTTCAGTGGGTTAGTGATTAAATATGTGACCGAACCTTTATAACCCTCTAAGCTTTGCTCAATAACCAACCCTGTGCCACCTTTTTTGTTTCACTTTTGCTTTTGATCTTATTTGGTTTGTCAACTCCAGTCAGCCTTCTACCTTTTTCAACAGAGAGCATAACTTAGTACTAGGATGTAGAAGCTGCCCTGTTTGTGGACTCTCTCTGCCTTCTACTTAGGAAACTGTCATCTCTACCCTCCCTTGGCCTGGGCATGGGGCAGCATATTTGGTCCAGGAGACTTTTTTGACTCCTATTTTACAAACCCGTGGGACCCTGTAGTCTGTAGAGTCATAACGCTGCCGTACTATATCTACTTCTGATGCCTTATTTTCTTTCTGGAGAACACAATTTTTTTTTAACTTGTGTGGTCACAGGTTTTACTTTCACTTGCTCAGTTGCTCCCCCCATCTTTACAGGCACTCCCCTAGTGAGCAGAACAAGCACAGACAAGAAGGAACCACCTCCCCTCTGGTTAGGTTCACTCTCAGACACTCATTTTTCAGTAGAATTTTGGAACTATGCTGCTGTGTTGATGTGGCATGGTTGTGATAGGTTAGTTGGCAAGTGATGGTACAAAGTATCCCAAAAGTAAGAACATAGGTGAAGGTTTGATAGGGAAATAGAAAGAGAAAAGCAAGCCACTTTCAAAGTACGCAAGGCAGTTTTTTCCATTGGAAAATTTGGGCAGCTGCAGCTACACCAGTTTTACATTGGTCTTCATCTTCTTCTGCCCCTCGATATTGCCCATAACATTGAATCCTATTTTGCTCATGAAGAAAGGAAAACTACAACAAACCCCCCAAAACCCAGAAAGGAAAAGAAGAAAATAAAAGAAAAGCAGTGATATTCGCGCTCCACTTCATTCGACTTAACTGTCTGCTTTGCCATTCTCTCTGTGTTTTTTTCCCGGGTTCTTTTTTAATGTTTTTTTTTTCTTTTTCTGAAGTTTCCTGCTAGAGAATGAAGCTTAGAAATGGAGCGCAAATAGCGCTACTTACCATGGATAGGAAGATAGATTGCCTACTGAGAACCATAATAATAATAATAATAATAATAATAATCAAAGTCCTAAAGAAGAGTTGCCGCCAACATGCCTCTACTGTTTCTTCTTAAGAAACTTTGTTCTGGATCACTTCTTTCCCCTCATGTTGCAGTTGTTGTTGTTGCTGTTGTTGTCATGGAGGAAGTCGAGCAAGACGGTGCTCTTGCACTTGGGGCACTTGGGATCATCCTCGGAGAGCATGACGTACATCAGGCACCTCGGACAACCCACGAGCACCATGGAAGTCGCTTCAGGGCTGTTGGAATACCTCAACCCGCTGTCGGAGTCCTGATTCAGCTCCGATGACACGCAGGAGCTCGGCGGCGAAGTCGGCGACACAGTGGCCGACCGGCTTGGTGAGGACTCCAGTCTCATGCGGTTGTTGTTGCTGTTATTCCCGCCCCTTGGTGGCGACAAGTTGAGCTTCAGCTCCAGCTTCGGGTTGTTGTTCCTTCGGCTCATCCTGCTGCTGCAAAACCAACATGAAAAACGCACGGTGAGCTCAAATTCCGACAACTCTTTGCTTGTTCTGAACAACAATTGGATTGATTGCCGAACCCATTTCTGTTTCTTACTTACCTTATTGAAAAGGGTGTCTCTGAAACTCGGTGACAGGCAGGCCAGGGGAACAGAGAAAGAGAGAGGGATCGAAATTGGTGGGTGGGTAGCTAGTACTGTTGGACCATGGATGGAAGAAGAAGAGCTTGGTTAAGGAGGGGAGAGGGAGAAATTGATCAGGGAAACAGTATAGAAACAGTTTTGGAGGGGTGGAGGTGGTGGTTTTGAACAAGTTAAAGGGCATTATATACAAGGCTGGGAAGAGAGAGAGATGGGCTTTTCTTTAAAGCTCAAAATTAATTATGGGAGGAAGGAGAGGTGGAGGGTGTTAGAGAGAGAGAGAGAGAGAGAGAGAGAGAGAGAGTATTGAATTGAATTGAATGGGAATTCAATTGGGAGTGTTGGTACTAGTAAAAGGGAAGGAGATGATGAAGAAGAAGAAGAAGAGGAAAAAATCTCAAGGAGTATGCAGAAGGAGGAAACAGAAACACTGCACTTTGCAAAGGTTAGTATAACAGCTCCATCTCCCTATGTCTATTCATTCATTCGTTGCCCTATAATCAGGAAGAAGAACCCTAAAACGTATGGGGAAAAAAAAGGTTTATATAATTTTGGTGGTATATGATACGTAAGATAATCATGTAAACTGAACTCAGTGGAGAAAACAGAGGAAGGAGGAAGAGATGTTGTTTTATGTTCAAACGTCCTCCCCAGCATCACCCTTATCAACCCACCCACCTAAAAGTTTAATTGAAAGCACCAAAATATTTAATGTCTAACCAAATAAAAGGTAAGTATAACAGCTATTATTATTAATTTATTTATTATATGTGTATAAAAATTGGGTCTTCATTTAATTAAGAAACTAGAATTAAAATGATATATATATGTGTATATTATTTGTTATTACCCTAGTCGTCGAGGAAGAAACAGGAGAAAAACGAAACCTCTCTTCCGAAAGGCTCCAAAAGAATTGATTTAATGTCTCTCCACATAGGAAATACCAACCAATTTATTAGGAATCAATCCCCCTTAGCCAAAACCAAACAAATTCAACCTCTTCTCGATCTCTTTGACTCTTCTCATTTCAACCCTCCTTTTCTTTTGTATGATGTTTGTTACTTGCTTCTGTTGCAGAACTCGGCAAATGCAAAGAACTTGGCTAGCAGCAAATGAGCCAAACGGGCAGCTTATTCAGAAAAATTTCGTCCGACACTTGACTTGTAAACTAACGAGTTGAGTTTCAAATGAGTATTGTTTAGCTCGCGAGCCAACTCCATTAAGTAGTTAGCGAGTCTTCATGACTAGCGACTTATGAGTGAATTAATCTATAGTTTATGAGTTGGCATATTGATAATTCATAGGTTAATTATATTATTTATCTCACCATATATGATGGTTTAGGACTTTGAGGACGCGAGCATTCATGTATCGCGTCTAATTTGGAACACAAATTATGTATTATAGATTGTTTATATACTAATTATCATTTACTAGCATGATATAAACTACTTAAAAATTGTACTAAATAATATGATATCAATAGAGTTTATAAACATAAGATTAATGAATGATGAAAATTGACATTTTTTGGTTTATGACATTAATCACATGAATGATGTATCACATAGTGCTTTCTTAATTTATAGATAAATTTAGAGTTTGATTTAGGAGTTATATCAGTTGAACTCATAAATGAACTGAGCTTGAGTCATCTCGTGAGTTGATTGACGTGTCGAACTCGTGTAGAGCTCTTGAGCTCATTAATAAGTATAGGTGGGTTTAAGCCAAAATTTTAGCTGAGTTTGAGCTTCGTTAGTTTATTGGCGAGCCGAGTTCGAGTTAGTCAAACTTAGCTTGGCTTGGCTCATTTCCAACCAAAGTGTTAAACCTCGATTGGACCAACTGGCTTTACAAAAAATAACTAGATCCAAACCCAAATATGGTATGGGCATACTTAAAATCTAGTATTTTGCCCGCATGGGGCACGATTGGTTAACCACTCAAATCGACAACCTCGAACCGTTGGTCTGTGGTATGTCTTTTGTTCTACTTTATGTTTTCAATAGAAAAAATAAAAATTTCTTCGTTGAAAATGGAACTAAGTCACTAATGTGAAATTAGAATACTCTAATCAACTTCTCTACATGACATTATCTTTTGATTTTTCTCACTGCCCTCTTTTTATTGAAGTTGAATTGGGGTAATTGGGTAGTGGATTTTAATGCTCAAGGTAATTAATAATGTACAGCAAAACAATAAATTTAAAAGTACGGATTTTAGAAATCCACAATTCCACGAGATTTGATTAATTAAATACCAAATCTTAATAAAGTCATAATAATAATTAAGTAGTTTAAGAATTTATTTAGGTGATTGATTTCAACTCTCACAGATCATCACTAGTCCACCACCTTCCAGCCATGTGATATCATTAAATACCAAGCCCCTCTCTCAATTAAAAGGGTTTTGTGTATTTCTTCGCGTTTTAATTACTAACCCAATCGTTGAATATATTGCAAAGGCAGCTTATTAATGACCCTTTGAGTAGGTTCATTGAATTTATTAAAATAAACAAAATCCAACTTCCTCATTTTCTTTACTATATTTGATTTACTCATTGCTTTTCCTTGCCTCCTTTTTGTAAAAAAAAAAAAACACTAATTTTAAGTTATTGGCAAGTAGGAACCATTTTTTTTGGTCATGTTATTTTATCACATATAATTATTGCCTGCATGAACTGACAAAAATATCCGTAATCGTGGATATTCGTCCAAATCCGACCTAATCGGATAGGGTAAAACCCGAACTTGAAGGACTTTTAGTGGGTACGGGTAAAATCCGAACCCGAATATTGCGGGTAACGGGTGGACATGGTTTTCTCACTATCCAACTCGAACCCGCCTGATTATGCACATGTATGTGTACTTTGTATAGAAATAATCATTTTTTTCTCTAACATATTTTATATTTAGCAAACAAATATAATATTTTCATGAAATTGTGTTGTTTTAATTAATTTTCTTCATTCTAATGATTTATTGTTATACGTTTCTTCTTATTTAATGTGACTATATATGTGAATGTTAACGTATTGGTTGGAGTTTTAGAGAGAAATTATTTCCCATGGATAATTGTTGATACTCGAAACACGAACGGGTATGGGCACAGTTCTGACTTTCTACCCATTTCTTATGTGGGTATGAGTATGGGTAAAACCCGAACTACTTCGGGTAGGGTAACGGATATACACTATCCATCTCTGACCCTACCCATTGCCATCCCTAGCATGAACCCTAAAAAGAAAAATCCAAAACAAAGTTTTTGAAACCGTACCGGATACTGTATCAGAAAGATCAGCGGTAAGGTATTTTATGGTGAAACCGTGGTTTTATTGTTGTTCAACCGTCAATACCACTAAATACCACCCATAAATTTAGCATCCGACACTGATATTTTGTGGTTGAACCACCAATACAGAACGATTTCACAAACCATACCCAGAAGAGAAAAAGGGAAAACATCACGATATGGGCAAGTCAAATTTCTATTTATGGAAAGTGTGATTTCCACGTGGCGGGCACACGTTGACCCTACTTTTAGTCACATTTCTCCTACTAAATCATTGTGATTAGCTAGAAGAAGAAGGAAAAGGGGAAAAATTAGTACGAGGGGCAAAAGTAAGCAGAGGGGTTTAACCACTCTTGACTTTTTTTTTTTTTTTTTTTTTCACGGTGAACTACTCTTGCTTGACTTTAGGTTACCCACTGCCCACAATTGCAACAAAATGGCTAGCTTAGCTATGAGATTAACGAAGAAAGATATAAAAATGGAAGAGGAAAAAGGAGAAATGATTAATTGTTATTTTCAGTTCCGTTTATGGCACCTGGGTAATTGATCACGTCAATAAAAATCAATCTATCAACCTCTCCAGCATTTCCTTGAAAAAAAAATCTAGTACTGCTTGGCTTTTTTTTTTTTTTTTTTTTTTTTATATCAGTACTGCCTGGCTAGTGACTACTGGGATGACAACTTGATGGGTGAGCCTAGGGGCGGATACTTGGCCTTTAGAGGTGTCTCGGGACACCCCTAAAATTTGGGGAAACGATTATCCAATCTCCGGTAGTAGTTTCGTATGGGTATACAAAATATAATTGGTAATCCGGGACACCCTAACATTTGAAAAAATGATTATCCTACCCTCGATAATAGTTTGCTTATGATTAACAAAATATAAGTGGTAGTCCGTGTTATTCCAACCTACGACACTACTATTATCAAACATATTCTAATTATGTTGCTACTCATTTGTTATTCTATTTTAAACATCATGCAACAGTAAATCGCTATTTCTTTATCCCCAACTATTTTCTATACCTAATAATTAAACTACGTACACGCTACCCTTAATTTTGAATTGATTTTATGGTTACACGGCAAGTGTTGAAAGAGTCTTTTTTACTTTGAAAGAGTCTTTTTTTGAACAATTGTCTAGTAGGATATGCAGATTTTTTTTGAACAGTGCAGACACGGTGATTATTTATATTATTTTTTCAAAATATGAATTTTAATTTATTATTTAATAAAAAATTTATACAAATTATACAAGTATGATATTTTTAATATACAAATTATTTAATTTATTATATAATTAAATTTAATTTTTGAAGAGTACACCCCTGTGAAAATTTTCTGAATCCGCCATTGGGTGGGCCGATTTCTTATATTACCGTGCCCAGACTATAATTTTAAAATTGTAACTATATCCGAAATCAAAACTAGGCGGAGATGAAAAATGACATATCGATTCCTACAAGTGCAGTCTGGGAAAGACCTGCTCCCATCATCTCCGTATAATCATGTATAAAATTCTTGATATAAAGTGCAATTTTTCATAGAATGTCGATGCTATTTTTAAAATTTTGTTAAGACATTGTTTATAAAAGTGAGGGAAAACGGGACAAGAAGTTTGCCCAAAGTGATAATTATAATTAGAGTTTGGTACCGGTATTTGGGATATACAGAATACCGTATCGAATTTGTCTATAGTTGATATTACCGAATAAACGTATTATTTTTTGGGATTGAGATTGAATTGCAATTTTTATTCGGTATTAGGGATTACGGGATTGTGATCGGTATATATCGAAATACTGATCAATACCGAAATATAAGCTAGTGTGTATTTTATCCTCTCAACTAGACTCTCTCATTCACTACTACATGACCCTAAACTACCAAGAGTGTCATTTAATTATACATAGATCATTATATCACTATTAATAGTCGTCTCTCAACCTCCAATTCGTCAAATTAACGATTACCAATGACAAGAACTTGAGATGTCTCCTCTCCTCCTTTCTCCTTAATAATATCCTAATTCAAGATACTTTGCTTAGTCTTTTCCCCCTAAATTAAACAATAAAATCTAATTTATATATTTAATTATTAATTGCAAAGATAATTAATTTTGTATTTGATAATACTGATTGGGATACCGAAGTACCGATTGGGATACCAAAATATTTAGGGATTGGGATTGGGATTGGAATTGTGATTGAATTTAGGGTGTAATTCGGTATTCGGGATTTTGATATTTGGTATTGGGATACCGATACCGTACCGATTTCCACCCCTAATTATAATACTTGAGGGATATGGATAACTGATGTGTTGAAACTAGTAAGCTAAAAAAGAATCAGGAATCTCTGAAAATGCTCTTGCTGCCCGGGGTCCTTTCTGATCCACCACTAGGGACGTCCCCAACTCTTTCAGGCCGTCTGCCGGACAATCCATAATCAAATCCACAACTGCAAGCCTCGTCAACAACTTTCAAGGCTATGCCTCAACCATTGAACTTCAAAGAAGCCTTGCTTGGCATCACACACAATTCATCGGACAAAAAGTGCCAGTGTACTTTCGTCTACATCGATGACCTGAAACCAAGCTCCTTTCAAGGGGAACTGGAACTCAAAGTCTCATCAAATTTCGAAGAACGCATGTGTCAACCTTAGAAGAAGACTTTGGTGGTTCGTTCGGTTGCTAGGCCGATCAGTCTTTTACTTTTACCATGCTTTCAGCTGCGATGGCAGTGGCGATCTGCATGCTCTCTCGAGATTATGGATCTCAACAATGACACATTTCTTGCAAATGATCAAGACTACTTGCGAGCTCCAGGTGAGGCCCATGGGTAATTCCAGACCATTATCTGGTTGTTCATTAATGGTCTCCATCTTTCTGTACCTCGGATAATCCTCACAAGTCGGTGATATCATGGGTTTAGTTCCCAGAATTATCAGCCCATTTCTATCACATGAAAGTCTTGTTTGTGCTCAGAAACCTCACCGGCAGGACTCTCAAGCTAGACTATCATATAAAAATTACAGAGAGGGGAAAGTTTGCTTGAATTATCATAGAGTTGGATATGACAAAACCCTCCCAACTCGAATCAGACTAGATGGTTACGGGCCCTGACTGCCTTGCCAGAGCAGAACCAAACCTCACTACAGGAAACAAAGATATCAGAGTCACCCGCCGGTTACGGCCCCTGGATGCTGGTGGTCCATAAATCAAGGCGCCATAATAGGAAACCGACTAATAATCAGTCACAAAATCAAAC